GTGAATGAGGAGGAGCTGGATTCTGGGTATATTCTAAAGGTAAAGTCAACAGGAATTCTTGATGGATTGGGTACAAGGTATAATAGAGATTATAACAGGATGACTTCCTGAGCAAGAAGAAGGATATGATTGCTGTCAACTGAAATGGGAAAAGCAAAGGGTAGAACAGTCTTGAGGTGGGATATCAGAGTTCAATTTTGGACATGTTAAATTTGAGATATATATTAAACATCCAAGCAAAGCTTCTGAATAGGCAGTTGGATGCATGAGTCTAGAGTTAAGAGAAGTTAGAAGGACCGGAGATACACATTTGGGAGTTACTGGCATACAGTTGGTATATAAACCATGAGACTGAAATCACCAGAGTAAATAAGTAACTAGAAAAGAGAGGGAGATCAAGGTCAAAGAGGAGAAATCAGCAAAGAAGACTGGAAGGAACTACCAGGGAGGTCAAACTCTCAGTTGCCTCTGCTGATTTCCAGATCTGAAAGTTTCATTTATGGTAATTATTATGAATTCCCGTTCCACCTCTGATCTTCAGAAATATTCATATTATTTTTACATACAGCCATGTGCCTTTAACGTTTATCATTTTAGTGTGGGATATAACATAAGTGCATAAAACAAATGCACAGCTTAACAGATAATTATAAAATGTGCACCCACTCCCAGCACCCCAGAAATGTCCTGTGTATCCTTTCTGATCACAGTGCCCTGCTTCTTCCCACACCACCTCCCCCGCCTTGGTGATAACGCTATCATGCCCTTTCTGAAGGACATTTCCTTGTTATTCTTATTGTTTTACCACTTCACGTTCTCATCCAAAATAAAGTTAACATTTGCCTGGTTTTGTACATTATTGAATACACATATGTATTTTTTGCATCTTTTACTCAATCAATATTCTTTGTGAGATTATAAAGTGTTGTATGTTGCCCTGTAAATACACACACACACACACACACACACACACACACACACACAGATACAGTAATCCATCATTGCTTTGTTTGATGCAGAGGAAAGGGCTTAAAGTATGCCATTTTGACTAATGCACTTTGTGTTTAACAAATGTTGTCAGAGTATGTTAAACTTCTGAAGAATACTGCCTCATCTCTCCCTCTGTGTTTCTAGTAAAACATAGTATCATTCCCAGACTAGATATTCAATAAATGGTTTCGGATGGTCATACTGACCATTTTAAACCAGATTCTCTGTCTGTCTGTCTGTCTGTCTGTCTGTCTGTCTCTCTCTCTCTCTCTCTCTCTCACACACACACACACACACACACACACACACACACACACTCCAATATTGCCATTATCTCCATCTTATAGATGGGAAATTGAAACACAGACTCTTTCAAGGGACATAAACAGTTTTTAACATAATCAGGATAAGAAAAGAAACATCGGGCCGGCCGAGTGGCGCGATGGTTAAGAGCTGGCTTGGGATGCCAGAGGGCCCTGGTTCGGATCCCACATATGAGGGCCAGTGA